AACTTGAAAAAGAAAAAAAAAAAATCCTGTTGATCATCTTCAGAGTGGGGAAAAATCATGTTGAAAAAACCATACAAAATGAGTAAAATTTTCTTTCTTTTTTAAAGAGATGGGGTATTATCCAGGTTGGTTTTAAACTCCTAGGCTTCAGCAATCCTCCCACCTCAGCCTCCTGAGTAGCTAGGTCTACAAACATGCGCCACCACACCTGGCTCTCACTTGGCTTAATATAGCAAAATATTGAATGAGGTTTCACAGAAAACTGTTGACGCAGGTACCAAGGAGTCAGTTAATTAGAAAGACCCTGGGCTGCACACAGAGGCCCCCTTACCATCTCATACTTATAGGTGGTCCTCTGGAACATGCTCTTGGTCCTCTGAATGTAAAGGAGGATGTTGGCAAAGACACGGATGGCATCCTGGTAGCGACGCATCATCAAATATGCAAAACCAACATAATAGTATGTGGTGACTTGGCACTCTGGCACACGGGAATACATGCTCTGCAAAAGGAGATGGAACAAATATACATGAATTCGAGTTCATCCCTGAAAGGAACTGAAAGTTGGTGGGGCCCAGTGAAAGCTAAGATGGAAACACAGAGCACTTTCCTAGCACATGCCTTGGACCACCTAGAGGAAGCTCTGATTCTGGAGTGAGAAGTCTGAGAGCAGACGTACATTTGCCAATTAAGCTACATGTTTTGAAGCCTCCATTATCTTAGCCATAACAGGAAGGAACTGGACAAGGTGACTCCTAAAACCTATTTCAGCTCTAAAACTCTGGACACCTCAGTTGATCATTTTTCCCTGCTTTTTCAAATAAGCCCTATAAAGAAATGGACAGGTAAGATAGATACACACACACAAACAACACCAAATAAAAAGTACCCATTTATTTTCCTGTGGCTAGGAAAAACACCTCAGACAATCATATATCAATAGATACACCACCTTAGAACTAAATTACTTACTAATTCTTTAAAGAGTAGTGAAACTTGAATAGTAAAAAGCTGTTACTATTCTGCCTTGAAAACAGAATTAAAAAGTCTTGTTAGCCACCTAAATTTTCCAGGACCAGATTTTCACTGCATTGCTTTTCTATTTTAGTCTCAATTTTCTTTCTTTCTTTTTTTTTTTTTTTGGTGAGTTGGAGTCTCACTCTGTCACCCAGACTGGAGTGCAGTGGCCGCTCCCGGACACTGCAGCCTCGACCTGCTGGGCTCTGGTGATCCTTCCGCCTCAGCCTTCCAAGTAGCTGGAACTACAGGCGCGCGCTACCACACCCGGCTAATTTTTTTGACTTATTATAGAGATGAGGTCTCGCTAAGTTGCCCCAGCGGGTTACGAACCCGCGGGCTGAGGCAATCCACTCACCTCAGCCTCCCAAAGGCGCGGGACTACAGGCTGAGCTACCGAGCCTGGCTAGTCTCAATTTTCAACTGACTTAAGACTCCTCTTTCCTCTCCTGAAAATTTGTCCTAAGAGATCAAAGAGTTTCTCTAGAAATAGACACTCTGGCTCTGGGAAGATGGGCCTGAGGTTACCAGGCAATTACCTTCTTGTTCAGTTCGATATTCTCCAGTACTTTGATGGCCTGGTAGTAATCCCCTAGTAGGGAGTGCAGGCGCAGAAGCCCCACTAGGCTGAAGTAACCAAGCATCTTGTAGAGGGAGTGCCGTCCATACTCCCCAGCCACACTCTCGGGGTCACCTGAAAGAGACAGACACTGAATACTTCAGCAGGAGGCAGGTAAAGGAAGGCAAGTTTGAGCTCTGAATGTCACTCAGTAAACTTGGCACCTGCTGCCGGCCTTTAACGTTTCCTTCAGCCGGGTTCGGTAGCTCAGTCTGTAATCCTGCGCCTTTGGGAGGCTGAGATGAGTGGAATGCCTGAGCCTGCGGGTTCGAGACCCGCCTGGGCAACTTGGTGAGACCTCATCTCTACAATAAATCAAAAATGAGTCGGGCGTGTTAGCGCTCGCCTGTAGTTCCAGCTACTCGGAAGGCTGAGGCGGAAGGATCACCGGAGCCCAGCAGGTCGAGGCTGCGGTGGCCGGGAGCGGCCACTGCACTCCAGTCTGGGTGACAGAGTGAGACTCCAACTCAAAAAAAAAAAAAAGTTTCCTTCAACAGGGAATAACCCTGCTTTCAAAGGAATACCAAGAAATAGCATGACCAACCTCATGCTAATCTTAAATTTACCAGTAGTTGCTTACAGGACAGTAGTTCACTTTGTTTTTTATTGGTCTCAACACACCTGATATTATAAGAGGGTCCCTCTCATCAAGAAGTTACTCACGAAAGTCTCTACTTTCAGGAAGTCCGTGAGATCTTTAAAACACAGTGAACCAGTATTTTACAAAACCATGCACAGTTGTAAAACACCCATTCAACTTATGGAAGAGACTAATAACTTTATTATGATTATCATATTATTATTATAATTACTATACATTATATCATTATTACTATTTTTGGGGGGATGACAGACTTACTATTTCACCCGCCTGCCTTGAACTCCTGGCCTCAAGTGATCCTCCCACCTCAGCCACAGCTGGGCTACAGGCTCATGCTACCACATCCAGCTACTTTTTATTTTACCATTTAATCTTTTTGTAGAAATGAGGGTCTCACTATCCTGCCTGGACTGGTCTCTAACTTCTGGCCTCAGCCTTCCAAAGTGCTATAATTACAGCCATGAGCCACCACACCTGACCCAATAACTTTAATATAACAAGTGAGAAGTTCACTAATATTTTCCAATTCCTCATTGCACCTAATCTATAAGAAACTATCACTACTTGTTTGAAAGTACAGGTCGAGCAATCCACTAAAAACCAGTGTTTTGAATTTTGGATTTTTTGTTTAGTCCGGTCCTCACTCAGTTGGCCAGGCTGGAGTGCAGTCTGGGCCTGGGTGATCCTTCTACCTTAGCCTCCCAAGTAACTGTGAATACAGGCATGTGCCATCACACACAACTAATTTTTTTGATTTTTTTTTTTTTCAGAGGAGGTCTTGCTACATTGCCTAGGCTGGGTCCCAAACTCCTGGACTCAATCAATCCTCTTGCCTTGGCCTCCCAATGTGCTAGGATTACAGGCATGAGCCAAAATCCTAGTTGAATTTCAGATTTTTTTTTTTTTAGTTGGAGTCTCACTCTGTCACCCAGAATGGAGTGCAGTGGCATGCTGCTCACACTCACCGGAGCCTCGACCTGCTGGACTCAGGCGAACCTTCTGCCTCAGGCTTCCAAGTAGCCAGAACTACAGGCACGTACTACCTTGCCCGGCTAATTATTGATTTATTGTAGAGACAAAGTCTCACCATGCTGCCCAGGCTGGTCTTGAACCTGCGGGCTCAGGAGATCCTCTCATCTTGGGCTCCCAAAGTGCCAGGATTGTAGGCTTGAGCCACTGTGCCCAGCCAGAAGGAGTATTTTAATAGACTGTTCAGGTAGTCCAGATGTTCTTTGATACTACACAGTGTAGTAGTATGCACAGATTTAACATCCCTAATCTGAAAATTTGAATCAGAAATGCTCCAAAATCTCAAACTTTTTGAGTGCTTAAACGATGCCACGGGTGGAAAATTCTACACCCTACCTCATTTTGCATTCAAAATAGAATTTGAGCCAGGTTCGGTGGCTTAGCCTGTAATCCCAGTGCTTTGGGAGGCTGAGGTGAGTGGATTGCCTGAGCCCACCTGGGCAACTTGGCGAGACCTCATCTCTACAATAAATCAAAACTTAGCCGGGCGTGGTAGCGCACACCTGTAGTTCCAGCTACTTGGAAGGCTGAGGCAAAAGGATTGCTGGAGCCCAGCAGGTCGAGGTTGTAGTGGCCGGGAGCGTGCTACTGCACTCCAGTCTGGGTGACAGAGTGAGACTGCAACTCAAAAAAAAAAAAAAAAACACAGAATTTGGTTGGGCATGGTAGCTCACGCCTATAATCCCAGCAGGCTGGGATTGTGCCACTGCACTCCAGTCTGGGCAACAGAGTGAGACCCCAACTCAAAAAAATAAATAAGTAATAAAAATAAATAAAATACTCCTTCCTTTCTCAACCAAGTATCTGTGTGAGGCCAGATTTTCCTTATATACTTCAACCAAAACAGCAACAGTTTGTATTCAGAAGTAGATATGAGAACCAAGCTATCTTATTTGCCCAGGCATAGTGGCTCACATTTGTAATATCAGCACTTTGGGAGGCCAAGGTAGGAGGACTGCTTGAGGTCAGGAGTTTGTGACTAGCCCGGGAAACACAGAGAGACCTCATCACCACCCCCCACCCCACCCCCGCCCAAAAAATTAATTAGCTGAGTGTGGCCAGGTGCAGTGACTCACACGTATGATCCCAGTACTTTAGGAGGGTGAGGTGAGAGGATTGCCTGAGCCCAGGGGTTGGAGACCAGCCTGGGCAACTTGGCAAGACCTCTTCTCTACAATCAATCAATCAATCAATAATAATGTGCTGGGAGTGGTGGCGCAGACCTATTGTTCCAGCTACTTGAAAGGCTGAAGCAGAAGGATCGCCTGAGCCCAGCAGGTCAAGGCTGTGGTGGCTGTGTGTCACTGCACTCCAGCCTGGGCAACAGAGGGCCTTACTCAAAAAAAAGAAAATAAAAAAACTAGACATAAACTTTGTGGTTCTCAATATCTTAAGAGTATAAAGTAGTTGACATCAAAAACATCTGAGAAGTGCTTATTTAAAGCTATGGAAAAATACTCACAAATGCAAATCTCAAAATCGGTTAGTTCAGTCTGTTGGCCAACAGACAACAGACTGCTAAGCCCAGCAGCGCCCAACATCAGCACCCTGCCACTGTTGGTACTCAAGCATCAGAGAACAGCCAACAGCCCACTGCTGAGAGATGGTGACCCAACTGCTCTCCTTGTAGTAGCTATCCACTTGGAGCAGATGGCAAGCAGCTGGAAACTCCCCGTCACGCGGCCAGCCTGCTGCACTTACCTCCACTTGTGTACACCTCCAACTGACGGTTGATGTTGGATTTGTCTACCAGGGAATGAAGGACATTGAGGACACTGTGAACATTCCAGATTTTGGGATTGGAACGAAGGAAGTCAATCTCCTCCTCCGACTTCTTGGCAGTCTTGCAGCGGTACTGACTAAATGACTGAAACTGTTGAGGAAAAAGAAAGATGCGGCAATGGTGGAAAACCATAGTGACAGTCCGCAAAGCTGAGAATGGGGCTACAGCAGGGCTCTGGACAAGGGAAAGAGAGGATGACACTCCACTTCTCACTCTAACGAAAGTGACTTCTTTTTTACTTTTTTGTTTGTTTTAGTCAGTCTCACTCTGGTGCCCGGGCTGGTTCATGCAGCCTCTACCCCCTGGGCTAAGCCAATCCTTCTGCATCAGTCTCCCAAGCAGCTGGGAATACAGGTGCACATCAAGATGCCTGGCTCCTTTTTGTAATTTTTTTTTTATATTTAAAGTCTCACTATGTGGCCCTGGCTGGTCTTAAACTCCTGAGCTCAGGTGACCTTGTGTAATCATGCTAGGACTACAGGCGGAGCCACTGCGCCCAACAATGAATGTTAATTCATCTATAGCTAAGTAAAAATCTTTAGGATTCGAAGTGATTTACAGAATAAACATTCAATTTGAAGTAGAAAGCAACCTTATGTCATTTACTGCCTCTGGGCCTCATGATGCAGTTGACCTGGTCACCAGAATCACCAGAGGAGCTCTTTCATGTAGCTTGACCATGAGATTTATGAGTAATAATGTGGTACAGGTATCTGCATGTGTTTGCCTTTCCTTATAGAATTGATCATCAGTTGCCCAACTGTTCCACCTCTCTGCCACTCTCAACCACAGAGGTACATACAGAGGACATGCCACAGAAATATGGGGCGGCAGTTCTACCCAGAAGCACTGCTGAACTGACTCCATTAGTCACACAGATAAAAGCACAAAAGACCTCCCTACTCGGCCTGGCTCGAAGGCTCAGCCTGTAATCTCAGCACTTGGGGAGGCTGAGGCGAGTAGACTGTCTGAGGCCACAGGTTTGAGACCAACACGGGCAACTTGGCAAGACCTCGTCTCTACAATAAAATAAAAAATAGCCAGGCATGGTGGCGTGCATCTGTAGTTCTGACTACTCAGAAGGTTGAGACGGAAGGATTGCTGGAGTCCAGAAGGTTGACACTGGGGTAGTCATGAGCATGCATGCCATTGCACTCCAGTCTGGGCAAAGGAGTGAAACTCCAACTCAAAAAAAAAAAAAA